GGTTATGCGTGGGGGTAGGAAAATCTCAACCTGAGAGAATTTGAGGGTAATTTCGCATATACCATACAAAGATCTGGGTGTTAATTTTGCAAATATAAAAGATTTGAGGGGTATATATGTGAAAAATCCATGAAAACATTTTACATCATTGGTCCATTAAATCTAAACACAATCTTAGTAATTTCCACCAAGCTCAAACCGATCCCTCACTCCTGATAGTTTTTTTTCTTTGTGTAAACAACCTAGCCCCCTTTCCTTGACCCTTCACCACTTCCTCTAACTATTGCCGTTCAACACCTTTTTTCCCCTTGCTGTTTTGTTGTTAATGTGTCATTAGTTACTACCTCAAATACTCTGACGAGTCTACAAAACTTCAACATATAAAATGTAGGTAACAGAAGATAATTTTTTGTGTTTCTTCTTTATGATGTTAGTTAATTGTTATTATCAATATTAAACCTAAAACTATCTCATCCTCTTCTTTTCCTCTATTTAAAGTGGTAAAGGGCTTTTTTAATATTGGTTCCATAAATCTTTACTATTTCAAAATTAATCCTTCAAATAATTGAAATTGCTATATAGTCCATTGAATCCTACTAGTTATTTCATTTAGTATCTTTATTAGTTATTTCACCTTAATTGTTGACTCAGATTGGGTTAGTTGGTAGCGCACACATGTCGAGTGACATTTCTACCCTAAATGAGTTGTTCCTTGCTCAAAACCCTAAAAAATTCAAAGAAACATGTTTAAAGAAGGGGGTTTAAACATGTTTAGAAACTCAGATATGGGATTTAGACAGGTAAAGAGGTGAATTTTGGTTTGGAGTAACTTAAACAAAGGGGTATAACAGAAAATCCATCGAAAAAAGCTAAAACTTAAATGAATTGTTATTCCCAAACCAAACAGTAGCTAATTACGTGGACTAGTGGACTAATTTGAAATAGCTAGTAGGATACAAGTGACCAATATCGAGGGACTAAATAGCAATTTCAATGACTCAAGCGAGTAATTTCAAAATATTAAAGATACAAGTGACTAACATCGGAAAAACACCCCAAAAATTTTATACTCTGCCAAATCTTGTACCTAGAGCTACTTCCGGCAAATCTTTTGGTAAAAATAAAGCCCAACGTATTGTGCCACATTGGAAAAATATAAAACATATGTCTGTAGTATCTTCTTATGGATATATTATCATATTAAAGTGGCTTAGCTGTTCTGGTACTCAAATTGCTTTGGTGCTCTCTACTATATTTTTATAAACACTTTAAGGCTCTATTTTGCAACTTAATAGAAATCAGGCTAGCCATGTTTTATTTTTTAACCATGTCAGAATTGGACCTAGGTGGGGAGTGGTCCAATTATAACCTGATTAAGAGGCTTAAAAATAAACTAAAATAAGTTCGGCCAGCGCTGGCCCAACTTTTACCAAGCACAACTATATTAAAACTGGATCAGGTTTAAACCTGGTCTAGTTTTAGTGGTTTACCAAACTAGCCCCTTATGCTCACAAGTCACCATTTTATAGAATGCATTTTCTTACCCAATTGGAGACCTACCATCCTCCTTCCTGAAAATGTTTTTTTGCACTTATTTCTTGGATATTTCATTCTTTTAGCTATGATGCTCACATGTGAATTTTTTTCTTTACTGATAGTTCCTACTTTTCTTGTATCAATTCCTAGACTTTGCAGTCCCTCGGTGATTATGACGAAGCTGCAATTATTTCTTCAACAAAATTCAGCTTCTTTTGGCTGCCTTTTCTTCCATTTCAGAAATTTCTCCAATTTGTAGTAAGTGCAAGTTTATGTACTGTGTAAGAACAAACATAAACAGCTCCTGCCTCTTCCCCAGTTCGTGGGCAATAGTTCCGAAAGTTGGTTCATATTGTCACTTACTATTACCATCTTGTTTAAGCATGAAGTTTTCAAAATTTTAGTGTTCAAATATGTGCTGCAATTGTGAAAAGATATCTAGAAATTAAGAATCTATAATAAAGTTAATATCTTCTTTGTTCTAGCATGTGATATCAACATCCGTTCAAGCAAACCAGGACAACTGTAATCCGTATTGTTTGCTGATCCTTTCTTCAGCAGTACTCATCTTTACTGTGCACATTAACATGTTTTATGCAAAATAAGCTTTTCGTACAAGATTATCAATGAGATTTGCTGGATAATTTAGCACAGTGCTGATGTAAAGAACAATTATTACCATCTTGTAAACACTTGGCTGCACATGGACAACAGAGGCATCTAATAGTTTTAGGTCTAGCACATAAACCCGATAGAAAATTTATAAGGGGACGAGAAAATTTTAACAAAAGTGGTCTAAGATTTCAGTCCTTATATCGTAATAGTTTTAGCTTTTGAGCCAAAAGAAACTGATACGAGTCGCTGTGCGAGCACTCTTGATCGCGGAATTATCAAGAGTGGGTAAAGAAGAAAACGACTGAAGAACACAAGAGTTATAATTAGGGCGAAGGAAAATACCTTCTCTAGATTATGAGAATCAATTGGATTTACAAAATCTCTCTCTCACAATCTCTCTAGATCAAAGAACAACCTCCCTGATCTCTTTTCTGATTACAAACTGAGTTCCTAACCCTAGAAAAGTCGTGTTTCTATTTATACTAAACAGAAATCCCAACTGGAGCAGGAAACAGACCCAGGCCCGTAACCGCTACGCGGTCGATCGCAGTGCCCAAGGCGGTCGACCGGTCAGAACGTCGAAATCTGGGAAATCGATTACAGGGTTTTCCGGTCGATCGCAGCGCCACCTTCGGTCGACCGCTCTCAGTCCCGAGACATAGTCTGGGTCTGTGCACTAAGCG